CAAACCCTAAATAAATCTAAAAAAAAAAAAAAAAAAAAAAAAAAAAAACATAAATAAATAAATAAATAAAAACAAAACAAAAACGAAAGAAAGAAGGGAAACACAAATTGATTAATACAAATGTCCTACCCGAATCGTTATGGCCGTGGTATGGCTGCTCCCTACGGTACTGTGCAGCTTCCCGTTGGCTGGCAGATGGCATACTCTGCCGAGGGAGACCCATACTACATTGACCACAATACACGTACGACGCACTGGCAGATCCCTGCGGAGGTGCTGCAGCGAATGAATCAAGGACAGGTCTATCGGGGACGCGTGAGACGTGGCATTGACCGTACAAAGCTGAAGACAAAGATGTGCATGAACATTCAACGCGGTGGTATTTGCAATTGGGGTGATAACTGCGCCTTTGCACATAACTCGGAGGAGCTCACTGCGGTCCCACATGGTGGCAGCCAGCGTGGAGGTGACGGAAATCCGTATCGTATGAGGGGGTTTGCCAACAATAACAGCAACAACAACTTAACCAACAATCACAGCATGAATAATGGCAACAGTGCCCCCAATGCGGCGGAGTTGAAGCAGCCAAAAAAGCAGGAGCAACAACCCCAGCAGCAAGGCATTCCCGCACCGCAGCAGGCGATGCCCGCACAGACCCAGTGATAGTCGAATATATAAATTAAAATAAAACAGATGACGAGATGAGATGAAAGATGTGAATGAAGGGAAAAAAAAAAAAAAAAGCATTTGAAATGCGGTGGGAATAACGACTGCGTCCCTTTTTTTTTTTTTTTTCTTTTATTTGTACGCTTTTTTTTTTTTAGTCTCTCTCTTCCTTCTTTATTTGCTTTGCACTCTCCTTTTTTTTTTTTTTTCTTTGTTTTTCTTTTTTTTTTTCTTTTTTGGGGCCAGTTGACCCCGTCTTCTCTCTCTCGGTTCATGGAATGTCTTGCAAAATTACGGAGTAATGAAATGCAAAGAAGAAACGAGCATCACACAAAATAAAGTAACATAAAGTGGAGCGTGCAAAGGATGGCGGGTGGAGTTGAAAGGGGTGGTGTGGTGGGGTGAGAGAGTTGTGCGGTTTCCAAGAGAGCTCACCTGCAGCCTCCTTTTACTTTTTTACCTTTTTTTTTTTTTTTTTTCTTTTTTTAATTAATTAATTTATTTTTTTTTTTTTTTTGCTTTTTTGTTTCCTGTTTGGCGAGGGAATTTCTGCCACCACTTCAGCGAATAAAACGAAATGCGATTGGGGCCTTTTTTTTTTGTTGTTTGTTTGTTTGTTTGTTTTGGGGGTCTTGGGCAAATGTCCGCGCGCCCGTCCCTCCCTTCTTTTCTTTTTTTCTTTTTGTTTTTTTCCCCTTCCCTGTTTGTTGCGGGTGTGTGTGTGTGTGTCTGTCTGTCTTTGTGTATGTTGTTTTTGATTTTGTTTTATTACGTTTTCTTTTTTTTTTGGTGTTTGAGGGTCTTACACGAAACACGCATGCACACACGAATACATCTCTATTTATTTATTTATCCATGTATGTACTCTTCTCTTCTCTTCCCTTCTCTTATGCGTATTATTTCGCTAAAACCCTCCCTGTAATATATATATATATATACATTTGTGTGTGTGTGTGTGTGTTACGTGCCGATTGTGTCCTCCTCCTCGTCTTCCGTTCACTCCCTTTACGCACCGCCTGCTTTTCATCATACATGCAAACGCAACTTTGTTTAATCGGTGCGATTAAACCAGATGCTTAAAAACAAAGAAAAAAAAAAGAAAATAAATCATTATTATTATTTTTGTTGTTCTTGTTTCTGCGTGCATGTCCGTGTTTATACCTAGTAATACTGGGCAGCGGGGAGACTTGGGAGGAGGGAATACATACCACACATGCGTACGCTTATCACTTAACGGTGTTGTGCACACGATGGCGGCTGCCACACGGTGCCTTCAGCAGTCTTGAGGGAAGCGAGGGTTGTGCGTGTGTGAGGGAGGGACGAGGAGGTCTTGTGGAAAAAAAAAAAAAAAAAGAGTGGGATTGAAGAATAAACAACAGAAGTAAAATAAAATAAAATAAAATAACATAAACGATTGCTGTCGAAACAAAATCAAAAAAATATATAAATAAATAAAGCAATAAATCAATATACATCGTACATACATACATGAAACCAGAAGGGGGGAACAAAAAAACGCGGAGAAGAAGGGACGGGTGGGGTGAGAGGGAATTTGGCCGAGAGGAGCACCGGGCCTTTGGCCACGAGATCAACTGCAGTCGTGTGTGTGTGTGTGCGTGTGTGCGTTGCACGGCTGAAGGGGGTTCGGTGCGGCCTGAATGTATAGTCACTCATGTACGCGTTTCATTTGTGTTCAAAATGTGCGTTTGCCCCTCCCTCTCCTCCTCAACACTAAACGAGAGGGAACGGAGGGGGAGGGGACACGCAGACATGAGAGGGAGAGGGAGAGAGACAGAGAGGGGGAGCACCAGCGGCTCCAGCGTGAGGCGATGAGAGGCCCATGGAGGAACGAACAACAAAAACAGCAGCAAATAAAAAAAGAAATAAAAAAAAAAAGAAAAGAAGGAAGGAATAAATAAGAAATAAAATTTAATTTAAAAGAAAGAAAAAGAAAAAAGGAAGAAAAGGAATTAAGAGCCCAACAAACGGAAAAAAACAAAAACAACAAAAAAAACATCGAACAAAAATAGGAAGAAACTCCCTCCCTCTCTCTCTCTCTATTTGTGTGTGTTTGTGTGCTTTTCGATTCGCGTGTGATTTGAGAGGAGGACGTTGTTAATATTGTGAGTAGAGGAGGGGGCGGGTGTGTTGAAGGGCACACGGAAATATAAAGAGAGAGAGAAATATAAAATAAAATAAATAAATGAAGGGGAGGAAAATTTAACCACCGCCGAGAAAAAAAAAAAAAAAAAAAGAAAAAAAGGAAATGAGGATAAATAAATAAAACAGGCACGCCACCCAAAAGAAAGTTTTATGCCTTGATGAAAGGAGGGAAGTGAAAGAAAAAAAGAAAAAAAAAAAAAGATATTAATATTTTAAACATCAAAAAGGAACGAAGAAAAAACAAACAAACAAAAAAAAAAAAAAAAGAACGATCTTTAATGCACACACACATGCACACGCGTCAAAACAGCAAAAAAAAAAAAAAAAAAAAAAAGAACGAAACAACGACGACGAGGAGGAAAACAAACAAAGAAACAGACTAAATAAATTATGGATTTATAAGGATAAGCATTGCAATGTATTTGACCGGTACATCGGCACGCTTATTTGCACCTGACGACATCTTTTTTTTTTTTTTTTTTTTTTGAGTCATTCTTTTTTCCACATGGGGAGGGGAGAGGCCAATGAGTGCGTGTAGAATGCGTGTTGCCCCTGTGCGAAGGAGTTGGTGTGGATTTATTGCAACAATATGCGGTGGTGTGTGGATATGCTCTGTGTGTCGTGTCGTGTCGTGTGGTTGCCCCCGGTCCTCCAGCGGAAGTTGTGAATGAAGGGACTCAAACGGCCTCTCGGTTGTGTGTTTTCTCTAATATTTTTTTTTTTTTTTTGGTGGGGGGGGGAGGCAATTGTTTAAAGAACACGATCCCATTAAAAAAAAGAAAATCAAAAAACCAACAAAAAATCAAATGCACGCCCACCCACACTTAACACAACGGCAGCAAGGAAAGAATGAAAAAAAGAAAAGAAAAAAAGGGCTCTAATTCCCCTCAATTCTCATCCTTCTCTTGAAAGCAGCTGTGCGGAAGGGAGGGCAGATTTCAGGAGGCTACAAAAAAAGAAAAGAAAAAAAAAGAGGAAGGGGAGGTGGGGGAAAGGACGGGAGGGAGGCCAGTGGGGGGTGAACAAGGAAAGCAATAAAAATAAAAGGAGAAAGGGAATATATACGAACCGTCTTTTGATGTTTGTGGAGGACGTGAGAAGGGATTTGTGTTTGGACAGTAGCAGAGGGAACGGAGGGAGAAGGGCAGCGGTTTAGTGGTACATGCGTGAAGGGTTGTTTGGTAGAAGAGATTGATAAAGACGGTTTGAACAATATGGGTGGCCAATCAATGGACTATTATAAACAAGAAGAAATCCGTTCATTTCAATTTACACACCACGTTCCGTTTTTTTTTTTTTTTTTTTTTTTTTGACCTTTTTCCTTTGTTCCTTTTATTTGGATTTTGTTTTCCCTGGCCCCGTTGCAGTAATCTTTTTGGCTCGGAATGGGCTGCAAGTATCCACGCTATTTTTTTTTTTTTTGCTTTTTTTTTTTGTTTTCGCCTAAATACTTTTTTATCTCTCTCTCTCTCTC